TTGGTGTGTGTCTAAATACTTTTTTCCCCCACTCTATATATATATATATATATATATATATATATATATATATGTGTGTGTGTACAAACAAATGTTGCCATGTTATATTGTGATGTTATAACAAATTTGTGTTTAGCGGTGGTTGGTATAAGCACCGACAAAATGGGGAAATTAAGGAAGCCTGTTTAGCAAGAGCATCTGTAATCTCTCTTAACAGCCCAATTGCTTGGTGTTTTAATAACAACAGTCTGTATCTGCAAAGAAGAAAAGTGGTCTATGAAGCAATGTGTCCAAAAGACAAGGAACGACTGCAGCAAAGTCATGATTAGAAAAAAAATGCACAGTTAGAGCACCAAGATGAACTTAAACATCTGCCCTGGCCAATTCAATCACCTCACTTGAATATTATCCAACCACAATGGATATGTGTGGAGAGAAGAGTGAGAAGCAGATTCCCTCCTTCAACTTCTCTGAAACAACTGGCAGATGTTCTGATAGAAGACTTTCCACTTAAGACTGAATCTAAGAAGGCTAGAAGCTGTATTTTAAGCTAATGGTGGTAAAACATTTTTTTTTAAAAGTAGTATACAGTGTATTAAATGAAAATACATATTTGCTCTAGACATGTAAAAATTTATGTGGGAAAAAATAAATACTCTGAATCCCAAGTAGATTTACGCAAAATGAGAAAGCCAAAAAGAGTTCGCTTGTATATTTCAACAGGCTAGAACTAAAAATCAAGCTAAGAATCTTGGTGTGATTCTGGAGACAGACCTTAGTTTCAGTAGTCATGTCAAAGCGGTAACTAAATCAGCATACTATCATCTCAAAAACATTGCAAGAATTAGATGTTTTGCTTCCAGTCAAGACTTGGAGAAACTTGCTCATGCCTTTATTACCAGCAGGGTGGAATATTGTAATGGTCTCCTCACCGGCCTTCCTAAGAAGACCATTAGACAGCTGCAGCTCATCCAGAACGCTGCTGCCAGGATTCTGACCAGAACCAGAAAATCTGAGCATATTACACCAGTCCTCAGGTCCTTACACTGGCTTCCAGTTATATTTAGGATTGATTTTAAAGTACTTTACCTCGTTTATAAATCACTCAATGGCCTAGGACCTAAATACATTGCAGATATGCTCACTGAATATAAATCTAACAGACCACTCAGATCATTAGGATCGAGTCAGTCAGAAATGCCAAGGGTTCACACAAAACAAGGGGAATCTGCATTTAGCTATTTTGCCGCCCGCAGTTGGAATCAGCTTCCAGAAGAGATCAGATGTGCGAAAACATTAGTCACATTTAAATCTAGACTCAAAACTCATCTGCTTAGCTGTGTATTTATTGAATGAGCACTGTGCGATGTCCGAATTGATTGCACTGTATTATGCAACCCGAAAAGATTGCACTGTATTTTATGTATAATCATTTTCTATATTTAACTGTCTTAAAGTCCCCATTAAAAATCTAAATTAAAGCTTTTTTGGGTGTTAGTATCAATATGTTAGTCTTAAGGTTATCTATAAGGCAGTGTGCTCCAAAACAGTGACAAAATTTGCATTTTGAAGATATAAGCATTCAAAGCTTTTAGTTTGTCACTTCCACCAAAACGGCGCAACGATTTTTTTGACGTCACATCGTACTTCATCTTCTCATCAAATCTTCTGACCAATCAAATGCTCTCTAGAAGCCGAAGCGCCTGCCCCCTACACTATAAATAGATGCTGAAGCTGTGGCTGAGATAGGTCGCTTTGTTCACAGTGTAGTATTTCTTGTATGGTGAATGGTACGTAGTGTACAATGTAGGCGATAGGGAATGATTCAGACAGTGTAAATATGCTTTTGATTGGGGCAAATGAGGTGCTGGTTTCACGTTGTGTCACGTGAACCGCGGCAGCGCGCACAGTCTGATCCAGACTTTGGCTCCGGTCCAGAGAAGCGATCGCACGGAGTGGATCATATGCGAGTCGGCATATATTAAACACTTTTAAAACTACACAGCCTCAGCATGATTATGATCACTATTTTGTTTTACTAAGAGTTTCATATTGAATCTAGGGGGTAATCTATTAGACTGTGGCTGTCAAATGCAGCTTTACCGAGCTCAACGGCTCTGACCCCTGCAGATATAAAGAAAACGCTATTGGCTACTTTAAAAAGGGGGCGGGGCTGCTTGATATGTC